CGTGGTCTTCTCTGGCTTCCATATTGCAGCGGTGAGCTCGGGAGGCCGCCCGGTTACTAAACGCCGACCTACCCCGCGTTACTCGCCGGCCTCGCCTTCTGTCTGCGGAGCTCGGTCACAGGGGAGCCCGGGCCGGACACCTTGTCCCCACGGGGGGGGACCGGGACATGGCTACCCAGGTGGAGGCTCCGCTGCTGCCCGCGAACCCGCTGCCGCCCCTGCAGCAGCATGAGGAGGAGGAGGTGGTAGTGGCGGACGGGGTCAAGCTGGCCAAGGAGGAGGCTGTGTGCCAGGAGGGCGAGGAAGGCCGCAGGGAGTTCGTGGAGGCTCCCCCACCTAAGGTGAACCCCTGGATCAAGTCAAGCGGAGGCCATGGCGGGCCGGTGAATGGACAGCTACCGCTAGGTAAGTGCCCCCCTGTGCGAGCATGCACCGGGCATGGACGGGGGTGGGGGGAGAGGACATGGGTTCACCTGTTCAAAGGTCAAAGCGGGATTGTGCCCCACGCTCTGAGCTATTCCTACTCAGTGGGTTTAAATGAAGCATGGATTGGTTTTGGGGTGCTATCTCTCTGCAATGCATTATAACACCCAAACAACCCCCGGTCTCCCCCATCTGTTACCGGGGCTTTAAGTTGTAGGAGACATCTGTTACTGTTCCCTGTAAACGAGCGATATAATGTTGGGGTGACCAATTTGTGGCTGTCTAAAGCAGCTGCTTTTAAAGCGAGCCGATATTAGTAGTTTAGGGGTGCCCATGCCAATCATGCCTTACGGTTTCGTGTCTCTAGACAGTGGGGTGTTTGCAGACAGTGTTGGGAGTGTCCTTCACAGTATGATGACTGGTTTCGTCGACCATGTGCCTTTTGGATTTGTCTTAAAGGTGGCATGTTAGGGGGTGCGGTTCCCTTCATTTTAAAAAAAAAAAAAATTTTTTTTGGGGGGGGGGTTCTTAAGTCACTTGTGAGCTCCCACTATCAGGCTTGTGTCACGGGTGAAATCGGGAAGGGGGGGCGCGATCTAGAGGGGGTTGGGTGTGTAGTAATCCCTAGTACACCCTTTGATGACACTGCAGTCTGTCCTGCCGGAGGAGAACCATATCGGGCTCAGACACCCCTATATTGGAATGGCTTCGTGTGCTGTGAATTTTAAACAGCAGCCGATCTTCGTAGAGGGTTAACGAAAAGCGCAAGTCCAAATGTTCCATTTCAGAACGTCCTTAGTTCAACGTTCCATTTGTGGATAAACCCCGCCCACATCAGTCCTTCCACTACCCAGCATTCCCCATACAGGCAACGTGGGTTGCCTTTAGGCCTGAGAGTCCTTGCAGCACTTTTCGCACGTTGTAGTTGGGCACTTTGTGCCCCTGTGTGTGCCATGTTCTCAATCTAAAGAGACTTGTTTGGAAAATTCCTCCCAACTCCTTGACCATTAAGCACAAGCTCCAGTAACACATTGCTAGCTCCCACTTCCTCCTCAGCCCTCGTGGCTCCTCCTCGCCATGTGAGCTCTGCAGATCCGACAAAGTTGCCCAATGCCTATTTTAATACCATGCCTGCGCCTTGCCAATAACAGCCCTGAGAGTAAACTTTCCCCCTCCCATCAATTGGGATCTTGCAGCGCCTTGTGGCTGATTAGGCCTTGGCTGGTCTCCCATGCTTCGCTGGCACTGTGAGCTGCAGGCCTGCACTCTCACCTCGCTGATAAAAATAGTCCACGCTGCCTCTCTCTGGCTATAAGAGGCAGTGTGACCGAGAGGGGCATTGTGGGTGAACATAAATCTTTGGATCGTATGGTGGGCTCATGAGCTAGGTCAGGCATATAGTTGTGAGAGTGTTAAAAGTGTAAGGCACATGCTGTAATCTCCCAGCGTGGGCCACATTTAAACATCAGCAATGTTAGATTAAGTGATCTACAATTAAACAGTTTCACATATGTACAGGGTGTCAAACACAATCATATTCCAGCAATAGCAGTTTATATTCTAGTTCTTATCGACGTTCCTTTTGCTTTTATTGAGGAGTATGTGAGGTACCACATGTATCTGCACATGTTATATGTGTGTGTATATTTTTAATTGGTGTTCATGTAGGGAGTAGAGTAACAGACTGACAAATTTGAATTATATGCTTATCTACATTCTAATTATGCATTCGTTGCCAGCATGGTTTAGTCCATTACTTTTGAACTGAAGACTTGAGTCTTGATGGGATATCCCCCCAAAAAATGCTTTTTTTCCCATCTTAAAGTTTAATCCACAACTATTGTAAGTGCAATGTTTTCCATTTTTATTGGTGTTCTTCGACAGCAATATTACGGTTTGAAGAGTATTTTCTTTGGCATAAATTTAATGTTGTACCACCAAACTGTGTACATAAAGACATAAGAAGGAGCACACAACCAGTATGTGTCAAAACACCAACACTTCTCATCAACTCGTGTTGTCTGTCCCCCAGTAGATGGTGTGCTAAGTATTTGCTTCAGTCTTTGTTTATTTAAAATATTTGTACGACTCCAATTTGGGGGGCTATACTCAGAATTTACTATAGCATATTCAGTAAGTTTCATTTAATTTGGTTCTCTTTACTTTGCAGGATTTTTTTTTTTTTAAACTACTACACAAGCCAAAACTGTAACTGCATCTTTTTGCAGCTGTGAGATTAATTTGGAAAAATCTTCATGTGAAACTCAGACCAAATTACCCAACTGTAAGACAAAATTGTGTCTGAGGTTAGAGTAGGGTTTAGGGGTGAATCTAGGTGCTGGTGTGTGTGTTTTTTTTTTTTTTTTAATAGGGTGGTGGTTTGGAGTTAGGTTAAGTGTTGTATGAAGTTGCTCAGAGCTATAGGTGCAGTTCCCAAGTTCATGGGAATTTAAATAAATGAAAGGTTTGGTTGCAGCTGTTTGTGAATAGTAAAAGTAGCACATGTCACAGAGATTCTGCTTATGTTAACAAGCTAATGGATTGGCATAAATATGGAAGTGAAAATACAATTGAAATACTAAAATTACCAATTTGTGAATAACTGAATGGGTTTCACTTCGCAAACTTTCAAGCGACTCTTTCGCGGAGTCTTCACATTTTATTGTATACTTGTGTGGAGGTGGCTAAAGGGGTGCGAATATGGAGGCATACTTGCTTTTAAGCTGTTCATCTTCTTGCTGTCATACTTTGGCGTCTGGTGACTTGATTTGCCAGTAGCTGTTACGGCATGCACCAACATCCAAAACAGGCTCAATAGGGGATCCTGCAAGCCTCTGGGATCATCCATGAATAATTTATGTACTGTAAGGTTTCATATGTATGTGAGCATTGCCCAAAATTATGTATTTTCACATAAGATGACATGGCAGCATATAAACTGCATTTTGTCAAGGATTAGCAGTTACACAAGGCTAGATAATTCTTACTTTGTCTCATGTATGTCTTTTGGATGAGTTGGAAACTGCCAAATTTGACCACTCAAATGTCATTAGCTAACAGACCCTTTGGGAGTCTATCTTCGATATTTTTCTTTAATGTTACGTTAAAAATTATACACTTTCTAAAAGGATTACAGTACTATTAAAGCATCTGTTCAGTAAAATGAAATTGAGGTAAAACTTTCAAATGATTGGGTTTCTTGTTTTTCTTTTTTACGTCTGAATGGGTGAATTGAATTGTATTTGTTTACTAACTTCCTAATGCATTTTTATTAGTGGAACAAGTTCTGCCTTTAGCAGCAAGTGATCACTAAGTTTCAGCTGGTTTGTATAGAGTTGAAGATAATGGGTTTGTTACCCTCCCCCCATTAACATTTGGAAATTCTACTTGTGTGGCAGACAGTTTGCTCCTGGTAGGAAAAAAGTGCTCAGAAAGTCATTACAAGTCCACAGCTTCATATCAGTAGTAGAAAACACTGGAGCAAAGCTGATCCTGTACTTTGGGTGTTACTAAGTGGCTGCAAGTCAGCTGAGCAAGCTGAACTCTACAGTGGCAGATGGCAGACTTTTGCACCATGTACAGAATCAGAGGTAACTGTACCTTTATTATATTTTGTCTGGAAAAATGGGTGATCATTAATTTTGCTGCATGAAATTAATTAATCGCTCTGGGCATATGGTTTTCATATTTTGCATACACAAATTACATTATTTTCCAAAATGTGTTTTCTTCTTACTAACTGGTATTTTTGCATGAGTTGCATGTGTGAGGCTCTTATAAATACATAATCTGCTTCATTTTGTAAGAATGTACTGCGATGGGTCAGACACTGTTAGCATATGCTGCACACATTTGACTTTAGATAGGTGGTTTATGTAAGGAAGAAACCCATATTTTCTACTGCATAATAATACAGCTTCAAATCTATGTATATTGCCCAGTTGGTTAGTTAATGGCAGTATTATGTAATTGAATCTATTAGGGGAAATACTTTTTTTTTTTTTTTTTTAAACCATCTCTGTGGATTATTTCACTTAACACCAAATGTTTGAGAATGAATTCCAATTCTGAGTGACATAACTGAGGCAAAAATAGCCAAGCTGTGACTATAGCAGTGTTGGAGTATTTGTTCAAATCAGCTATTTTTACTTTAGTTTTGTCATTCAAAATTAATTAAAATTCTTAATGTTTTGTGAATAATCTTGTCTGTTAATAAAGAGCTTATCTTTATATTAGGACAGCCAGTCAAATTTTAACCATTTAAGATCAGGCACACTGCTTACACTGTATGTCCTACTTTTTAACCTAGAGAGCTGATTTTCATGATTGAGACTCAGGTCCAAACACTCGTGATGAATGTCATCATCATACGCGAGTTTTAACGTTGGTGTCATTAGAGCATTACGTGGATACATTGCAACTCTGCTTTGCTCTGTGCATAATAAACACCAGTGTTTTAATGACACGAGCAAGGGCTGGGTGACTTGTCCATGTAAACTGACCCTTTAACAGCTGGATGGCTGTCACCTGCTCATTCCTTGTATAGGAATTCCATATAAAACATGCATGTGCAGCTTTATTTTATAAATGAGTTTTCAAAGGGGAGTCAAGGCAAGTTGTTTTTGGTATTCATGAAATGTTCAGTGTTACATGTCTGTTTGCTATGAAGGCAGTTAGCTTGCACACAGAGGAAAGAAATTGCAGACTCATCTCTGTAAGATATCAAGTTTCCTTAGGTGATCAAAGCTATTTTGTGTTGTGAAACGTAGCATTATACTGAATTGGACTGGAGAAGACTTATTGATGAGAAAAATGGAAATATATAATATTGCATCGAACTCCCATATGGAGTCCCTATAACTTCTACAGTGTCAATCAGCATACAGCCACATTATAAACCAATCATGTTACCTGAAAATCTCTAGCTAAGCTCTGTGATCAGAGGAAAGCTATGATGTTTGACAGTTTTACAGAGAACAGTATCTGTCCTGCTCTCCAAATGTTTACAATGAGCAACAAGGTGTTTTGCAAATTGAGTTTGACAC